TTTTCACTCTACATATTTGTATTTGTACTCCTTCCAAACTGAGCCTAAGGTAGGAGTACAAATACAAATACGTAGGATCAGTTTGGTAGGAGTACAAATACAAATATATAGAGTGCAAAACCTTATGTTTTGTATTATTTTTTATGTATTTGCCATGGTTTTTAAAAATGAACTGGAAATAGAACCGGTCAGGGGACCAGTTTTTTGTTAAGTGGTTCAACCATCCGGGTCAAATGGTTCGACCCATGATATCATAAATAAATAAAAGATAAATAATAAAAAATAGCGTAAAATTAAATAAAAAACAGAAAAAAATATAGAAAATAAAACTATCTAAATAAAAAATAATACAGTATAAAACACATAGAAAACATAAAAATAAAATACAGAAAAAAATGCAAAAGAAAAATCAAAATTTACAGAAAAAATAGAAAAATAAAACAGAAAATGCAAAAAATACAGAAAAAAAACTCTACAATATTAAATTCTAAAAAGCAAAAATCCTTGACCTAAAATCATGATTCACAGGGATAGATTCCCTTGGCACCAAAATAAAAAGGGAGAAATAGGAGCATTCACTCTAGAATGTTAGATTGCTATGCAACCAAGATTGATCTCTAAAAGACTTCAATATACATTTATTTTACCTAATTGATAAAAAAAATTACATTAATTTGTACCTAAGCATCATGCCAAATGCTGCTCCCTAAGCTTCAACCAAGCAAAAACTTCAAAACTCTGTTTTTTTTTCAATTTCTGAGAATTTCTTTAGAACTGCTCCTAGGTGTCAAAACACTCAACCAAATCTACGAATCTTCTAGAAATCAGGCAATTCAAATAGCATTGACCAACCTTTTCAAAATTGCATGTCATATGTTCATCATGGAACTGTATGGTTTCATCCCAAAGAATTGTAGAAACTCCTTATAATTTCAAGCAACAGAAATTCTATTCCAGCCCACCACTGTTTTCCTAGATTTCTTCTAAATTACACAAATTCTAATCCAGCCCAGCACTATTTTCTAATAATTTCAAGCAACAGAAATTTTAGTAAGAAAAATTTTCATAACAAACTTAAAAATCTAAAGAGATGGAAATGAGCCTATCATTTCATGTTTCCAAAAACAATATTGCGTCGAACTGCAGAATTCTTTTCCAGATCTCCTCTTGACCAAAAACGTCAGGATCTTAATAAAACAGTTCCTTGGAAATGGTGGTGTGACGGGGGGCTCAGGTTTGGTCGCAGGCAAGTTGTCGCTGCAAGTGCTGCTCATCGCCAATGCCCAATGGTGGTGTTACTACCATCCGCTGCAAGTGCTTTTTCCCACCCACCGCTACAAATGCGTTGGATAGCCGCTACAAACTTGCTGTCCGCCGCTGCAAGTGCTGCTCCAACTTGTAGAATCGCCAATGCCCAATGGCGGTGTTACTGCCATCCGTTGCAAGTGCTTTTCCCTGCCCACCGCTGCAAACTTGTCGGGCAGCCGCTACAAACTTTCCGTCCGCCGTTGCAAGTGCTTGCCGCCACAACTCTTACTATTGTAAACTCGTCGTTGCCGGTCGCCGTTAATTGTCGTTGGTCGGTGTGTGTTACCATCAGATGCCGGAGGTGCTAGCCACTACAGGTGGTCGGTTGGGTGTGAGGGTTGAGAGGAGGGAAGGGTTAGACTGAAAATGGGGTTCTAACCCTAAAGGGACTAAAGTTCGATTCTGGGTTAGGGATATTGAAGGCATTTTGTTTTTTGTTTTTTTTGTTTTTATTTAAAACATTGAAAATAAAAAAGTAACATGCAAACTGCTGCCTGAGTCAAACAGTTTAGCGGTCCGATCGCCCGGGTCAGTAATTTTCTGACTTTTTCAACATTTTTTGAAATTTCCGGTTTTTAGTATAACTGGACCTGGGGGTCGACCGATTACCGGTTTTTCCTGTCCAGTCCGGTTTTGAAAGCCATGGTATCTGCACTGTACATGTGGTATCTGCACTGTACATTTTTGTACTGGTCTTACCAAACTAAGCCTTTATACAGAGCAGGCATTGGAAGACTTTCGATTTAGCTCTGATGGACGATGAACAGTGACAAAGGTGTTGGTCTGTTGTCATCTAGAGGAAACTTAGGGACAGATTGAGACGAGAGTATTTGGTGGTGATTAAAATGGAATGGCCCATAGAAAATCTACCTAGCTAGGTTGCCAGGCATACGTACCCCATCGTCATCCTAGTCGACTGGCACACGAAACCCCTCTTCTTCTCGGCCGTAACTTTGAGAGAGAGAGAGAGAGAAATAGGGCGAGAAGCAAGATGGAAGGTTAGGCGTTTTGATTTCTATACTAGACCAGAACTAATAAAACAGTTGTGTGATTTGATTTCGAATTTCTCAAATGTAATTTTCTAGTTTGGTCTGAGATTTTGTTTTTCAATTAAACTAAACTAGATTGGACCATGATGAACACACACCCCTACCGCTCATACATACTTTCTATTATCTTGACTTACTGGTTTAAAACTCCTCTTTCTACTGTGAATAGGGTTTGAATTATGTAAAATTTTCCACTTTCAACGAATAAGGGCCACTAAAAAAAGAGCAGCTCACTCTCTCTCCTTTTCAAAAGTAGAAGATTAATAAGAGAAAAATCTTCGGATCCTTAGGCTTAAAAAAATAAGGAAAAGCTCCTAACCCACACTGGGTATTGGGTAACAGAGCCATGCCTAGCCCAGTTAATTTGAGATAAGCTTAAACATTTCATGAAAACATGCATGCCTATCCAAGTATCCACCACTAAAGGAAGATCAGAAACATGAAGAATCATATTTAGTTGTGCACTCATCTTGGGCTGTTACCTGGCCATCATGTGCAAACCATAATTATTATATACAAGAATCTGATTCAAGCTTATAACCAATCTGGAGTGTTGAGTTTCCTTTGGTTCACGTCCAACCAGGACAGTTTTTCTTTTCATTGCAACTTTTTGTCTATACCTTTAGGCTACACGGTTGGTTTAACATATTGGGTCGGACCACTTTAATAAAATAAAGTCAGGGCGGGGCGGACCTGGTGATTGCAACAAACCGGCCGGCCCCATCTCATTTAGCGGAATTTGACTAATTCTGAACCTGGAGACTGGAGAGGCTGCCCTCTAGTCTAGCTTAGCTCCTACTTTGTCCTCCTCTTTAGTGCACAACCCCTAGTTGGGCTAGTTGTCCAGTTCAGACTTGAGAGTTGAAGGCACGAAGCTTTACAAAAGAATGTCGGAGACGCTACAGTAACCTCAGCTGCTGTACAGAATTCAATCACATTACCTTTTTTTCTGCTTTACAGTGCAGACCCTATTGAATTGAGTAAGTTCAGCCTGCCTCCGCATTCATTATTTCTTTTTCTTTTCTACCAGCTTTTTTATCCACTGCAACCCAACCCACGTGAGAACGTTCTACTCTCTGTGTCACTGACTCACTGTGTGTGTGTGTGTGACGCCACAACATTAGGATTTAGGACAGAAGGAGATCACATATTCACATGAAGAAAGGAGCCACCCATCACTTTCCCGCGAGGTATGTTGGTATTGATTGCTCTTCCCAAACTGCCCTTAATTCCCAAATTTTATTAATTACCACCCTTCTTAACGTTCATTTACTTTTTAGTTAGAATTATACAATTATCATTTTATTCATAAAATGAACAATATTGTCTTTTTATATATTAATAATTTTCTATAAAAGCAAAAAAGGTAATTTCTGTAAAATATCTCATCCACATACATGAACCATTATTTTCGTAGAAAACCACTAATTCTAAAATACAAACATGAGGACAAAATAGTCTTTGAAAACCTCCATCAATATCGATAGAAGCTGAGCATTTAAACAATTAAACAGGAGTATGGTCATTATTTATTAGTATCATTAAATATACTAAATAAGTAGATAAATAAAAAAAGTTAAAAAAATGGTAGGGGCTAGAGCCTAGAACAAAGTTGCTAAACAAACGCCTCGGATTGCTCAAGGCGAGTTTGCTGCTGGTGCCCGCCGTGTGTTCCCTTCTAATCCTACAATACAATCCATCAATAATATAATATAATATTAAATTAATAAATAAGCAGAAAATCAGGGAACGTCGTCGCTTGGGAAGCACATTCAAAGATACGAGTAAATCCCGGTTTTCCGATTGAGATAAAAGAATGTTGTTGGTGTCATATACATCTACTCATATGTGGCGGTCCACCGTTGGACACATCAACCATAGTTAAAATTGTGATTATTGATGGGGATTGGTGTCACGCCACGTGGTAACGTCCTCCTATGGTAGACTTTGAATTTTTTCTTCTTTGTGAATTGTGATGACATGATGGACGGACGACGTAGATGATCCTATTCGCAGTACCTCTGACGTAATCATCCATCTAAACAACGTCTTTATATAAAGTGGAAGAGCTTTTTCAGTCGCCCATCTGATTGGCCACGGGCCCACATCCAACGGAACCAGAGATATATGAGCCGCTCGATAAAAAATGAAGATGAAAGGGAAAGGACTCTCTCTCCCCAATTCTCCCCAAACTTTTAAAAAGGATTGTGGAAAGGCAAGGAGAGGAAGAAGGCCCAAAAATCCAAATGTGCTTTTGGGACTTTGGGGTTGCTTTCTTTCTTTTCTTTCTCCCCTGTCTTTTAGAATGTACATGAAAAAACATAATCATGCATAAAAAGGAGATGCTGCTACTTCTTTACGTTTTAACTTTATCCTCTCTTGTCAATGAACTATATCCACACACACTGACCTCACAGCCTGTATTGGCCGTATATCGAGAACATCTCCAATACTTGCATTCTCAATACAGAGTGGGACGTGACTATGAGATCAGTGTGAGGTGCGCTTTGTGAGGAGCATATTTCAATTCTATATAATCAAATCCTAGCATACGTAGATTACCTGAATGAATACGCACATAGTTTGATTACACAAGGAAGAAATAAGACAGACGGGAAAATTTGCAGATTGTACACCGCGAAGTTTAAGAGTAAAACGATCTGATACTTCATTGCTTGGGTGGTTTGTTAGTTTCCGAGGAAGAAAGATGAATGTTTTAGCCCGGAATACACACAAGAATCTAAAAGAAAATGAAAACAAATTAGAAAACAAAGAATCGATCGACATCGACCACCCAATCGGCCAATCCTCGTTTCCTCTGTTTTTGTCCAAGTGGTGCTTGACCAACTCTCCTTTTCCTTCACCTTCTCAACTCGGAAGTAGAGTTCTTAGGATCCAATTTAACACAGGTATTCGTTGCCCATTTAGGGAGGTTTGTCTTCTTATCTGGGGTGGGTTTCATGAGTCAGTCAGCCTTTCCTTTGTTTACAAAAATTGGACAGGAGAATGGGGAAAGGCGTCAAATTAAAGCTTGGTACATACATTACGAAGGTCATCGCTTGCCGGAGAATTGACCTCCCTAATGGCATTTTCCGGCTTGAGTCAACTTTCGCTTGTATTACAAACCCAATTCTTCTTTTCTATTTTCTGTTTCTGTACGTAGCTGTTAACATCTATCTCCTCAATTTCTCATAACCCAAGAACAATATAGTAGACCAGAGTGATTGGCAGCGCTATTAACATCCCAAATATCACCCTGAAACATAACCATTAATATATTATTAAGTCAGTACTGTTAGTAATTGTTAAAGCAAGATTAAAAAAGTTCAGTTATTTGTTTATTAATTCTACTCTCTTCGTCACTTACGCAGTACTGAGAATGGTTGGGTGGACGTTATATTCTTTGGCGAACACAAAAGGGACGATCCCCTGCGGAAGAGCGGCCTGAAGATGGAAAAATCAATAAATTTAAATAAAACAATCTAAGTAAAGAGCCTACAACTGAAAAATAAATAATAAATAAAAGATTGAAGTCTTTTGTTTCTCATTAACCTGTACAATTGCGATGTGGAGGAGCTGGCCGCGTAAGCCAACTGCAATAGAAGCCGCGGCCATTACGGCCGGACCCGTCAGAAACCTGACGGCCATGGCGAAGGCGGCCACCGAGTTCCCGCAGGCGATTATCTTCGGTTGGAGTGCCATGAACAGCCCTGCCCCAGGCGCAAAATGCAGATAAAATCAACACATGATAGCAATAGAATTAGAAAAGAAAAGAAAAATCCATCTTTTGCTAAACTGCGCACGCAGTGGCGTGCAACCTCCGGTGACGGTGAGTAACCAATTGATGCAGTTGCAGTCTTGGTAGCGACCACCCCAGGAAGACAGGACCACAAGCAACGTGCTAGAAGGTCCCACGTGTCGGGCATCCAGGCTCCTACTTATGGTCCAGCGGTAATTGACGTTTCGTGAAATTACCGAAAATACCCAAACTGCCATCCAAATGCCACGGAAGTTGTCTTGTTGTAGTAAATCTAAAATCTAAATGCCCATCCAATGATCCAAAGTCCAAACAGTTGTTGTGGGCCTTGTGGCTACTGGGTAGAGAGGATCACCATCCACCAATCATGGTCCACTGCCCACTATTGACGGCCAAGATTGATTACCATTGGCTACTGAGCGAGCCAATGTGCGGCCACCGCTGAGAGACAGCTGGGAGCTTGGGAATGGAATGAATGGTGAGTTACGAGTGGAGAAGCAGAAACCCCACCCCCAAGGCTCACGTTAGTGGCAACTAGAACTACCAATCAAAGAGTCGTCGCGAAAACAGACTAACCTAAGCTGAACATGGCCATGCCGAGACCAGCATCGGAGAGTATAGAGATTGAACCCTTTATTATTTTGGGCATAGACAGATCCCACCTGCATTAACGACAAAGGAATTTCCAGAAACTATCAATCCAAGCAAGAAGACAAATTAGATAATAGAACTTGTTTAATGATTATAAAAAAAAAACAAAACTTCGGGTTTTTTAGGGCTTTATCTAATTCGGGGACTCTGCTCACCGAAAAGCGATGAGAGACCAGACGACACCGATGAGGCTCGAGTACGTGTTTGGGTTCCGGATTAGCTTGCGCCAAACCATGATTAGAATAAGCCGGGTCATCACACTTGCCGGTGGCATCTGTTTCCCGGCGCCGGATTCTGTCGTTCCCACAGCTTTCGGGTGTAACTCAGCAGTCGAGCTCGACCCCAGCTTGGAAAGGCCAGTCGCCCCTTCTTTCTCTCCGTCCTCTTCTCCTTCACCCATCATCATTCCTCTTCCACCCGGGAAACGGAGGTCCTCCCCACCAAAGACCTCTGCTTGAGCAAATCAATTTAATTAAAAATAATAATTAAAACGAATAATTTAAATTTTAATCATTTTAATGTGGTGTTTCCCTTTTAAGTTTTACCCACCTTTGTTCCCACCATTTTGAGGGTGATCACCTACTAACATCCGGATCTCCTTGGCGCTCTGATCAGAGCGTCCAGATTGCTCCGTCGCACCGAATACGTGGAGCCCACCGCCTTCGGACACTGGCGAAGCGCTGGAGCTCCATACGAACATGTGAAGTTCCTTGGCATCGTGGTTCGCTTTGCCCTGTCCTTGCGCTTGCGTCGTCGTCTGCTGCAGCTGCTGTTGCTGCTCTTTCTTTGCGCTTTTGGTGCCGGTTGAAGAAATCTCCGGATTCGGCGCAGGATAAGTGCTCGCAGTCGGCACAGCAGGATAGAAGCCGAAGCGAGGAGAGGTGACGGATGCTGCTGCTGCAGCTGGGGCACAATTCTCCTCGAAATTCGACGGCCTCGGGGTCGGACCCCTCGATGACTGTACTGAATACAAGTCTCCCGGTCCAAAATTGGACTGCCTCGCTGGGAAGCCTTGAAGTCCGATCATTGAATAGAAATCCGAGTTGTTAAAATTCGAACCCCTCGGCGTTGGATTCTTCGACGAACTCAAGCTGTAAATCTCTGCCCCGGTGAGATTGGATGGGCGAGGCGTCAATGCCGAGAGTGAACCCGGTCCAAGCGACCTTCTTGACGCATTCGACTTCCTCACAGTCACGTGAAGCTTCCCATCGTTTCCGATCTCCGCATCCGTCTCCAAGAAGTCCCGGCCGTCGAGCGACACGACATCGGAGTCGATCTTGAACGAGACGATCGACCCTGCGGTATCAGGGAACTGCTCCATGATCAGCATCTTCGCGCCACGGTACTCGAAGAGGAACAGAAGCAGTGTATACCAGATGATACACTGCAACACGACGACCTGAACCATGAGATTGCCTGCCTCCGGATTATACATGGCTATCAAGAGAGGGATCCCCATAACCAAGGTGTTGGGCAGCGTGGAAAGAGAGAAGATTGTGATTAACCATTCAAGGCTTCCGTTCCTGGTAAAGTTAGCCCAGATGCCGAGAACGACGATCATAATTATCTTCTGCAATGTATCGGCGGCGATGAAATGGAAGTTCATCTTGTAAGGGTTGTTGGTGGAGATGAAGTGGAAGGAGAGAAGTGGAACGGCGAATATAGCGACGAAGCGGTTGATGCCGGAGCACTGGTCCGGCGAGAAAATCTTCCACCACCGAACTGAGCCATAGGCTAAGATCATAGCCACGTAGAGAGGAACCATGGCGGCTAAGACCGTGTAGAGATCTCCCCATGAAATCATCTTTCGAAATCGTCGGAACCGGTGAGAATCAGAAATGGGTAGTTAGGTTTAGATCTAATGAGACTGAAAACCAACAGTGTAGAATAAAATTGGAGAAGATAGGAATTAAGGGTGAAATGGGGAGAGAGGAGGAACCGTTTATTAACTAACTGGGTATGAAATGAAAGACCTCCGCTGCTACTTCTTCTGTCGTTCTGCTGATGGTTAGGAGAGAGACTGCTTGAATTGAAGAGGAGGGCCTAGAGAGAGAGAGAGGTGTGAATTTACGAAGTGTAACTTTAGAGGGATATATATAGGAGGGAGAAGGAAGGGGGGAAATGGGTTGAATGCAGATTGGAGTGTAGTGAGTTGGAGTGATGGAGTGGAAAAGAATGAGCGCCTACTATGGTTAAGTTAACCGGAGAAGATGGATAGGATAGGGGGTTTATGAACACAGGTGGCTCAAACAGAGAAAACATAATTTGGATGAAACATTTTTTCTTTATAAATGATTTTGGGAGAATTGCATGCTAATATCGTGAATGTAATATGACCCTGGAGAGACCCTCCATAAATGTTGTCAGGGACCAGACCGGATGGCTTAACGGTCGGAACTAGGGGTGAGTACGGGTTGATTTGATTGGGTTTCAAGGCAAAACCTCAAATCAATTTTCTAAGATTAAATTCAAGGATTGCAATTTTGTTGGAAATTTTAGGGTATTTGACCCGTCCCAATCCTAATAGAACTCACTTATCAAAACATGAATTTGAGGTTTTATATTAAAACTTTATTTGGAACACAAATCCAATTACACTTAACGCATGTGTCCACTCCCGATGCCCGAATATAAACCCATCTCTATCTATCTACATGGCATCACATTTTATGATGTAAAATTGGGTGCAATGTTTAAAGTGTCAAAAATGTATTTGGATTTTGGATATGTATAAATAGAAAGAAAATTTAAGATACACATGGATACATACACCATGGATATGTATAGCTCTAATAACTATACATAAGAAAAATGTATTTTATAGTTTATGACTATATGTGAACTGTGAAGTGTAATTTCATCATAAAAATGAGATGTATAAACCATCAAAATGTCCCAAGGAAACATTAATATACATATACATGCATAGCTTAACAAACTAATACCATAAATCTTATTAATGGTGAAGTAAAAGGTTACAAAATTTAAAATAAACAAAGTTTAATAAATAATGATGTTATGTGTAGTAGAAGTACATTCTCCTAGGAAATTAGTCATACAAGAAGTTCCTTAAATGTATAACTGAGAATATAGAGGCAAAAGCATTCAGACTTATTTGATGATGGAATTTATGGCTCGAGACCTAGTTTTAAATCCTTTTAATATATTAATTTCATACAATACTAAAGATAATTAATGTTATTAGTGGTGTGTTAAATAAGGTTAGTTATGAAGTCAATTATATATGATAAATGAAATATTAAATAGAGTCAATTATAATGATTTAATGGGTATTAATTAAAGTAATTAAATTAGGATTTCAAATTTCAAAAGAGAGTGATAGCATTGATACGATATGTCAAATAATAATCGGGTGGGGTGGTGAGAATTTCATAGGTATCCTACCTCTTGCCATTCCTATCAAAACCTACACTATCAAGATTGGTTCCGAATAGATCTGTTCACGGACCAGGCCAGGCTTGTGGCCCGAACCTAGTCCATTAATAGGACTATTTCTAAGGTCCATGCATGGCACCTGTTCTTTAAATAATAATAATAGCTTTAGTGTATTGCACTTTGGAAGCTTTGGCCTTGGATAACAATCTATCATAAACATTCTACATAGTCAATGGATCTCAAAGAAAATAAACCATTATCCATGCATAAACAACCTAATCCATAATCCAACTTCATACAAATTCCACAATCTACACAAATGCAATCTCTATGCAAATATAATACAATCTGCGATCAATCCAAATTAATAATATACATAACTAATACATCATCTATCATTCAAATCCATTCATTAAGTCTAAATTTCGCAGACCCTGGGACCAGCCTGGTGGGAGTTAGTTCTAATAATTTGATCATTTGAAACCAGACCCTATTCAAAAATCGGTTGAAAGGTTTAAGGTCAATTCCAATTGAATTGGTTCTAGGTAGAAGCTCAATGCTCACTCCTAGTTGGATGCTAGAAGAACAAAATCTAGTATTAATAGAAATGTTAATACGTTCTTTAACTTTCGCAACAAAAAAAAAAATCTAATTCTTGTTGTTTCATACTTATTTTGACAAAATACAGTATTAAAAGATAATTTTTGAACCATTTTTTATTGTATTTGTGTATGTGTGTGTTTCATCTTTGCATATTTTTGGCAAGTCGATCAAACGGTCTAGGCAGATGGTTGAAACCTTTGACCCACGATCTACATCGATTCCAAGTCTTATATTGCCCTTGATAGAATCATAGAATGGAATGAGGAAATAGGGTTTGCACTTCAAATAGCTAATTGGTCCTGTAAAGTGTAGTGGATCATGGTTTATATCCCTACTTGCTTGTTTGGTTCAAATAGAACCGAAATTGAAATTAGAATCGGTTGGGGGGAGTGAATCACCAGTCCACCAGGAATGGGAGTTGGAATGGACCCTTAATTATTTATATTAGATTTCATCAAATTGAGAAGTTATTTTTATTGAACTAAATGAGGTTGATTTAAATTTCATGATATGGAAAAGACCTCTGGGTCATCTGAGAAAAAAAGATAAACTTCATGATTTGTACTTTTAAATTGACCAAAAAGTCCAAATTTTAGGCAGTATTTTGATTTCAATATGTTATTTTTTTAAAAGCAATTTTACTTTTTTCCTAATTTTGTTTTCCACAGCCCAAAGTTTAAAATAAAAAAAAAAACCTTTTTCCCAAATGGAGCCTGAATTATATGCATTAGGCTTGTGAGATTGATTTACTGAAGAATTACTGTATTAAATTGAATGATCATAAAGAAAACTGTATAATGCCACTTTAGTAAAAGTTTTCAGGTTCGATGCTTGTTATTAAAGAAAACCATAACCTAGGAATATGGTTATGACTAAAACTGCATTTATTAAAGCCAAATAATAAAAACGACTATGTCCTACCGAAATCCTAATAAATAAAAGGTATCAAAAGTCAGAAAAGAGACATCAACAACATGTTCATAAAGCCAAAAGCCCCAGCTTAGCATCTTACTACATACTAGAATCATGGGCTATTAAATCTTATCGAACCCAAGCCCAAATACAGTTCAGATAACACTAAAAGTGGATGGAGCAGACCTCACTAAAAGTGAGGACGTAATAGCTGTGTGACACATATTCTAGTATTTTTCATCCAAACGTTTTTATTTTATTAGACAGAAATTGTTCATTATTTTATTATTTTTGTTAAAATAATTAAAAATAAAAGCAATGAAAAAAAAACCCTAAACATATTGGGAATTGGGACTTATTTACGTTTTTCTTTTTCATTGTTTTTATTTTTAATTATTTTGACAAAGATAATAAAATAATGGATAATTTTTGTTTAACATAACAAAAACATTTAGATGAAAAGCACATTAACTAGGATATGTATCACACAGCTATTGTGTGCTCACTCATTGTGCTTACCTAACCTGCTCACTCTTAAACACATACACACACATAACACTTTATGAAGCGCCCCATCAAGTTACAGGAATCCTGTCAGCTTGGACAGTTGATGAACCACACTCTCCAGCCCTTGATCTCCAATTCTTTGGACCACAAATCAGAAATTTTCGTACGGTTTCTAACGAGTGGACAACGAAAAAAGAAATGTCACACATCATAACAAATGCAATTTCAATTTTGTATACATCCACTTATTTTGTGTTATTTTCATGCATTAAGTTTTGTCAATATTACCAAGGAGCCAGGCAAACGGTTAGTATCTTTGAAGTCAACATTTCTGAGTTGCATGGTGAAGGGTATATAAGAATTTCCTTGTTCTGATGAATGCTTGTAGTCCTTACAATTCTCTCATATTTCAAGTCTAGGTCCCTTATACAGTGACCGACTTTTTGAATGGGCCTTTGTGTTAATTAAGCTCCGTTTGTTTGCAGTGCAAATTTTCAGTGGCATTGGTGTAAATGCATGAGAGTGCAAATATATGTTTTGAATGCAAATTCTCGTTTATTTTTGTTTTAGGTTTGGCTTTGTCTTATTTGTTTGTGAGAAGTAAAATAATATTAACCCTATTTTGTATGAAAGAGAACAGAGGTAAGAAGAGGGTTATTTCTTTTGAGTGTGGTTCTGATTTGAGGTTGCTGGAGGGTATAAGTTTTTCATCAATTTGCACTTTTTTTTCTTGAAGCATCTGACACAATTACAAGGGCAGGTTCATTACTTAGCTTGATGAAGCATCTGATATAAGGATATTGGAGAGAAGAGAAGGAACAGATAACCAACTAAAAGGTCTATGAAACATTAAACTTGTACGCACTCCGCACCACAGCATGGGCAGCTCCATTTGCTGATCGATGAACGAACAAGTGGGAAAGGTGTGAGAGTATACTTCTATAGCTAGCTATGATTGTATTTGTATGTAATCGCCATGGACCATGGTAGTTGTAGTTGTAGTTTATCCACCAACAGAAGTTGAACAATGGAAAAAACATCACCTGACGTTAGATAAATCTACAAGAAGAAGACCCTGAAGAAAAGCCGTTACTTTAGACGAGGTGGGACATTGATGAGAATGAATAGGTATCAGATAGGAATGTAAATGAGACAAAAAAGAAAAAAAAAAAATTGCTTCCTATTGAGATTTGAAGTGAGGAGCGTTCTTTTTTTTTTGGATTTTGAGAGGGGAAAGTTGGTAAATAGGATTTTAGTTCCCATTGACCAAGAATCTCATTTTCATTTTTCAGATTTATGTGAGGAATAAAGAAAATTTATTATACTCATCTCTTAGGTGGATAAATAACTTTCTCACCTAAGGGGAAATTTGCTAATACTTGAATGTGACAAAAATACATCTTTTAATAATAAACTTTTATGCTTAAAATGGTCATTACCTTATTTACTTGGGAAATAAAAAGAACATGGATAAATACACTTACCCAGTAAATATTTTCTAAGAAAATCTTATCTAAATAATTATATTTACCCGAATAAATTACTTACCAAAAAGTGAACGGGGCCTAAGAGTAAATCATAGTAATAAGTTGTATGGGATAGGAGTATAAATCATAATAATAAATTGTATCAGATAAGAGTGTTAATTATAATAATAAATGTATGCATAACTAAAATAGGTGCAAAATTTGCTTCGTATTGAGATTTGCTCTGCAAGCAAAGAGAGTCTTAGCATGTAGTCATTGCAAGGCCATTTTCTCAGGTTGATAATTAAAATGGACATTCCATAACCCACTACAACCAGAATATATATAATTG